ACAAGTCTAGAAGAGCAGCTGGCATTTCATGTCCAAGGGGAGAGTGCAAGCAGGTAGGACCATGTGGCTACACAGTCCCCTGCTCTTTCTCATCCTTCTGGGTGAGCGGGGCTGGACTTTCAGAACTGAAACCCAGGACTGGGGCAGGAGATGGAGAAGATCTGAAGTGGAGGATGAAGACATGTCAGGGAAAACAGTTCAGCCCAGACCATTACCCAGAGGAGCCAAGGCAATCACTCAGATGTGGGCACAGTGGTCTGGCGGCTCTGGGGAGGCACTGAGTTGGCCAGAGGTTCTCATCACCCGAGGCAGTTGTTAGGAGTCTTGAGCTGGATCCAGCCTGTGTTTTGAACCCCAATTTCCAGGCTCCCCCATCCATGGTAACAGTGCAAAACCCAGCGTGAGGCTGGTGACCATGCAGTGTTGCTGGTGACCCACGTAGCGGTGCTATAGGGAGAACTCAGACTCCTCTGGCAGCTCCTCCTTAAAACCACAGGGTCACAATAGGAGGTGAGAGAGGTCAACCTCAGACAACCGCATACAAGAGCAGTTCACTGTGATAGTAGGTAGAGGAGCGCAGGGTCACTACACCCACACTTACTAGTGTGGGATCGAGAGAGCAGAGCTGATCTAGGATTGCAAGTGAAAGTATCTGTTAACGTAGTGTAAGAACTATCCCACCTGCACGCTGAGCCCCGAAGCTGACAAACGCAGGAGTGGGAATCATCTGTCTCTCATCCCAAGGGATGGAGAGGAATCTTTAAACTTGCCTGAGATTGCACGTGTGCCAGAGTGTGCATTCGTGTGCATGTATACATGTGTGGGCATCTGCGTGTGTGTGTGTGCTTGTGCATGGATGTGGATATGTGTGCAGTGTGTGTGTGGTGTGTCCATGTGAATGTGTGTGTATGTGTGAGAGAGACATGCAGATAGGAGACCAAGAGTCTGGCAAGACTAGAAGAAAGACAAAGAATTGCATGTTTTCATTCATGTTTGTCAGAGGGAGTCCATCAGGCAAACTCAGCTCAGCTCAGAGGAAGGCTTGGAAAAGACAGGTGATCAGGGAGCCTCCTCAGGTGTGCGGGGAGGTAAGCAGGGGAGACAGGAGCCACTATCCTGATTGTCCAGCAACTGAGCTACCCCCAACTCCTTCCTGCTCACCCCACACTGGTGACATAGGAGGGAGGGAATAAGGGACCCTAAACCAAACACTGGGAGAAGGGAGGTGAATTGCCCTGCCCAGCACAGTTCCTAGGACCCTGAGACGCCTCGGTCTCCCATCAGTTCTGTTTCAGGAGAGAATAAAGGAAAGGCTATGGCAGGCCCCTGGGACCCTGGTTCCTTGGAGGCACCTGTAATCTCACCTGTGTGGCTCCTCCCTGGTTCGCTGTGAAAGAAAATTGTGCTATATTGTTCATGACTCTGGTCAATATTGGGTTTCCAATTCCAGGCTTACCACAAAGTAGAAAACCTGGATTAAACCAACAAACTCCAGAATGTGTCTCCCATGGGCAAAGACCTTCAATGGCTGGGTGTACAGAGGTCTGCTGAGTCCACCTTCTGTTCGCCTGTATCCGGAGAAAGGATCACCTCAGCATAGATCATTGAAGATAGGCTTGGACCATCATCAACTCACTCTTATCTGTTCTCACTCTGCTTCCTGCTGAAATCTGAGTTTCCTGTGCATGTCTGAGATTATTTTGTCCAGACACTATTAACATTTTTACTATCTGTGACCCACCCACACCTTCTATAACTATAAATCTAACACTAGAGATAGAATACAATGAGTCATTGTGAGTAGAAAATGAACAGCGAAGGAAGACCTGGGAGAGAGCTTTTAAGTTCTGGTGTGGCCGCAGGATAATCGCGCAACCACAAGGTCAGTGATTCAAACTCACTAGCCACTCCTCGGAAACCCTATATAGGGTCGCTCTGGGTTGGAACAAACTTGACGGCACTTAACAACAACAACAGTGCTTCCCACAGGACTCCTGGTGTGCTACTGTGGTTAGCACTGGACTGATAACCACAAGATCAGTGCTTCATACTCACCAGCCACTCCTCAGAAACCTATAGGGGGTCACTATGAGTCAGAACTGACTCAACGGCACTTTACAACAACAACTCCCCACATATGGATACAAACTTTAATTGATTATCAGGAGTGGGTAAAGAAAAATATGGGAGCTTTTTGATAAATAACCTTTAAAATGTTTATTGTGGTGAAATGTACATATCATATAACATAAAATTTTCCATTTTGATCTTTTTTAAGTTATAATTCAGTGACATTATTTGCATTCACAATTTTGTGCCCCATGATTAGTTTCCAAAACTTTTTTATCATCTTAAACAGAAATTCTGTACCCAGTAAGCAATCAATAACTCCCTATTCTTCTCTCTTCACAGTCCCTGGTAAGCACTAATCTACTTTGGTCTCGATGTATCTGTCCTCGATATTTTCTATAAGTGGGATCATACAATACTTGTCTTTTTATGTTTGACTTATTTCACTGAACATAATGTTTTCATGTCTCATCTATGTTTTTGCTTGGGTCAAAATGTCATTCCTTTTTCTAGCTGAATACTTCTCCCTTGTACGGTTGTCCTACATTTTGTTTATCCAATCATCTGTTCATGAGCCTCTGGGTGGCTTTCACCTTTTAACCATTGTGACTAACACTGCAGTAAACTTTGGTGTACACGTATCTATTGGGGTACCTGGTTTCAGTGTTGTTAAGTGCTGTCAAGTTGGCTCCTATTCCAAGCTATTCCAAGAAGCAGGCGGTGGGCTTGAACCACTGACCTTGCAGTTAGCGGTCCAAGGCATCACACCAAGACTCCACTTTGTTCCACTGTTTTGGGGTAAATACCTAGAAGTGGAATGGCTGAGTCATCTGGTAATTCTATGCTTAACATTTTGAGGGCCCACCAAACTGTCTTCCAAAGAGGTGGCACCATTTTCATTCCCAGCAGCAATTCACAAGGATGTCAGTTTCTCCACATCCTCGCCAATACTCATTACTTCTGTGTGTACATCAACACAGTGCTAGTAGGTTAGGTGGCACAAAATAATTTCTAGAAAGTTATATTCAATATTTTTGAGTAACTTTATGACGATATTAACTATGTACCTCAACATTATATACAAAATATGTGCTATACAGTTAGAGTTGCTTTAAATGATGTTGCTGATGTTAAGTTTTGTCGAGTTGGTTCCAACTCATAGCGACCATATATAGAGTTTCTGAAGAGAATCTGGTAGGTTTGAACCACCGAACTTGAGGTCAGTTGTCCAGTGCTTATCCTACAGCACTACGCCAGAACTCCTTTGAAATGCTAACCATGGATCTTTCAGTCAAGATCTTGGAGGCCTGGTGTGGCATTGTGGGTTAATGCGCTGGACAGTAAAGTCAGTTTGAACCACAAGGTTGGTGGTTCAAACTCACCAGTCGATACTCGGAAACCCTATACAGGGCCACTAAGAGTTGGAACCAACTTAATGACACTTAACAATAACAACAATCAAGATCTAACTAGAGTGGTGGTTGGTGTTGTTTAGTGCCATCGAGTCAGGTCTGACCCATAGCGACCCTGTATAAGGTTTCCAATGAGTGGCTGGTGAGTTTGAACCGCCAACATTGTAGTTCAAGCTGACTTTACAGTCTGGCACATTAACCCACAGCACCATACCAGGACTCTGGAGTGGTGGTTATATGACTATAAATTTATCAAATTCATTGAAATGATTATTTTCCCAGCTGTACTTAAGAAGGCTGCTTCGGGGTGCAGTAATGGAAAAGGAGTTGATTAAACATTGCAGTTTAAACCCTCCAGCCACTCCTCAGAAACCCTATAGAGGGTCGCTATAAGTCGGAACAAGTCTATTTGTTGAAGCAATCACAGACCACTCATATTCAGTGGGAGGGGATGTCAACTCCAACTCTTAGTGGGAGGAGTGTCAGAGGATTTACAGTCATGGTTTATAACTGCCACATAAAAGAATCTCCATCTAGTGCCTTTATCACAGAAAAAAATAACCAGACCTGAAGGGGTGAAGCCACCTGGTCCATAGCCAAGGCCAAGGGACAGAGTTGGCTTTGTGCCCTGGATGGCAGCCTTGGTATGTCATTCCCGAGAGCCCATCTGTACACTTCAGAAGGCCAGTTCTCCAGCCTGCGGAGGCACCATATGGTCCTGAGAAAAACACGAGGCAGGTATCATGAGGTTCTAGAATGTTTTACTAAGGGCTCATGACTAGTATTCATGAGTTATATGGAATTATGGATATGTTTTGTGTTGGTCATGATCTTTTTTTTTAAATGGAGTTGTTATCAATATGTAACAATGAGGAAATTTCATTTCTGGCTTCTCTTTGAAAACTAGGAATGCCTGTCAACAGTGAACCTATGATGTCACAGAGCTCCAGCATGCCCCAGCTGACTGCAGTCTTCACCCCACGCCACCTCACTGTATTAAACCCAGCTGTCTTGTTATCTAGTGCAGCCATAGCAGAAATACCTCAAATGGGTGGCTGTAACAAGCAGGAATTTATTTTTTTCTCATAGTGTAAAGGCTGGAAATCTAAGTTTAGAATGCTGGCTCTAGAGGAAGACTCCGTCTCTGTCAGCTCTGGAATAAAATCATTGTCCCCATAACAGTCTCTGTATGTTACTTGTCTGACACCTAGGGGCACTGGGGATTGCCACCTCTGCGTCATGCTCTCAGGGGACTGCGAGACTGGGAAGGAGAAAGAAGGACTTCACTTGAGAACCTCATTCCCTCCCTGGCTCTGAGGACTCCAACAAGTGTCCTGTAAGACCCAGTCCCCTACCCCCATCAAGGCACAAGAACAAAACTCCCACAAGTCGAGGAGAGTCTAGGCAATGTTCCTCCTGCCCTGGGGTGTGGAGACCAAGGGTCTCTCTCATCTGGTCTGGAGTGTTGTATCCTGAGACTGAGCATTCCTAGAGGTGATGTCTCATGGGTCCTTCTGGTCATGCTGACTCTTGTCTTTCAGGGATCCTCTGAGTCCTGTTCACCCAGAGGACAGCACTGAGCATGCTCAGGAACAGGGGCACCTTCAGGAAGGCCAGGAGCAGGAAGTGGACACTGCTGAGCAGGAACCTGTGGGGGACACAGAGACAGGTAGGGAATCACTCCTCAGGGGAAGTTCCAGAACTCTCCTCTTTCCACCTCTCCCTGTGCTCTCACTTAGAGTCCAAATAGCTCAATATCAAGCCTGAGGAACCCATACCAGGGATGCCCTTCTTGAGGCCCCTGTCCCCATACTCCTTGGTGAAGAACTTCCCTTGGTACTATCTTCAAGGTGAGGTGGTGGAGCAAAGACGAAGAAGGACCCAGACAGTACCTGCTTTCCAGAGCCTACCCTCTGTCCTTTTCCCCTCAGATTTTTTCCTTTATCAATCAACATCTGGAAAACAATCTTCACCCAGACTTTAGAGTCCTCATCCTTCCATCCTCTTTCCCACAGAGTCTGGCAGCAGCAGCACCACAACCATTTCTGGATGTCTTTGTGAAGTCAGGAAGCCCAGATCCAAACTCCATCCTGGATCCAGCTCTTCTCCCCATAGACCCCAAGAACAGCTCCTGGTAGCAGTATCCACAGTAGGGCAGAGCTCTTTGAAGATGACCTCAGATTCTGAACCCCAGAACCAAGATCCCAAGTCCAGAATCAGTGGGGAAGAACTGGGGAAAAGGTAGGGATGAGCAAAGAGGTGGTACATCCATTCCAAACCAGCTTCTGGCCTGTGCCCCTGCATCTGCCCTGTAAGGGAGGGACACACAACACAAGTGACATTTTCCACCCAGAATCCACCTGAAGCCTTGGAGAATGTGGAAACCAGGACTAGGGCTGGAGGAAAGGCCAACCGTGAAGATTTCAGGACATGGATGCTGTCACCAGCCCCCACCCCAGAGTCCCCAGTAAGGCACCAAGCTCCTTCCCACTATGGTCTCCAAGACTCAGGTCCTTACTGTGGGTGGCGGGTCAATATCCCCTCTGCACTATAGTTCTGTCCAACAGTCTCCATTAGGATGGTGGATGGTGTGGCTGACTGGGTCGTCCTCACTGGTGCTAAAGGGAAAGATCATACATCAGGCCTCTGCTTCCCTGCCAAGAACTAGGCACCTGTTTGACTCGGATTCACATGGAGACACTTACTCATAGAAGGGGCTCGAGAGATACCCTGACCCGGGCTACCCCCTGGGTAAAGTGTGCATAACGAAAGCCTCCCATCCCCACCTCATTTCCCATCATCTGCCTCTCAGGGCCCAACTGAGCTCTTCCCTGGTCATACCCCAAGAGTAACCTAACTCTGACTCTGCCTGGGGTGAGGATGGGGATTTAGGGGGAGCTTCTCTAGCCTGATAAGGAGCTTCAAAGTCAGGAGCAGGGGGAGGAGGCTGAAAGAACCTGGTCTATCCTATGGACCAAAGACCATGTATAGAGGTTTAGAGGAGGAACAGGGGAAAGTCTGACAGAAAGTGGTCCAGCCTATGACCCAAAGACCACAGATAGAGGCTCAGAGGAGGAGCAGGAGAAGGCTGAAAGAAGATGGTCCATCCTATGGCCCAAAGACCATGAATAAAGGTTCATAGGAGGGACAGGGGAGGCACCTGAAAAAAGATGGTCCAGCCTACAGCCCGGAGACCACTGATGGAGGCTCAGAGGAAGAGCAGGGGGAAGTCTGAAAGATGTCCATCCTATGGCCCAAGACCATGGGTGGAGGCTCTCAAAGCACTCCCTTTCATGTGGAGACCATTTAAGGCCACCTTACCCGCCAATGGTATAGCACTGTAGGATAAGCACTGGACTGCTAACCACAAGACTAGTAGTTCAAACGCACCAGTTACTACTTGGAAACCCAATGAGGGTCACTATGAGTCAGAACCAAGTCAATGGCACTTAACAACACAACAGGTCACCACTGGGGCAGGGAGGAAAAGGAGCAGGAAATTCAGTGTCAAGGCTGTCACCCAACTCCTCCCAAGGACCTCACACATCCCAGACTGTCAGCATGGCCTCTACCCTCCTCCCCACTCTGCCCCCATGACCCCTGATCTCCAACACAGAGGCTTGAGTCTTCAGAGGACTCAACACAGGCTCTGTTTCAACAAACAGGCTCTGGTCTCCTTGCTGTTGGAGACACATCAATGGAAACTATATTGTCCCTGCCCTCTGGGCATAGATTCATGAACATTGTTGTTAAATGCTGAAGAGTCGGTTCCAACTCATAGCCACCTTACTGATACGAAAGCTATCTTTTGGTTAATGTCTTACTGGTAGGTTTGAATCACCGACCTTTCGGTTAGCAGTGAGGTGCTTATCCTACAACACCACACATTAGGTCAATTCCGATACAAAGCAGTGAGCACTAGAGTGGAATTCAGTACCAGCCCCAACAAGGCACAAAGGAAGAATCATTTAATTCATCTGCCTTCTGGGTAAGTGGAAAAGAGGAATGAGAAATAGCTGGGTAGCGTAGTGGTTATGAATCGGGCTGCGAACCTTAAGGTCAGCGGTTCAAAACTACCAGCCGCTCCGCGGGAGAAAGATGAGGCTTTCTACTCCCGTAAAGATTTACACCCTCGGAAACCCTGTACAGGGTCGCTATGGGTCGGACCCGACTCAATGGCACTTAACAACAACAACAACAAAAGAGGATGCTATGGAGTCCTGGTGTGGCACTGTGGGATAACACACTGGATCACAAGGTTGGTTTGAAGTGCAAAGTCAGTAGTTCAAATTCACCAGCCACTCCTCAGAAACCCTCTACAGGGTCACTGTGAGTTGAAACTGACTCAACAGCACTTAACAACCACAGCAGAGGATACTATAGACATACAAAATGCACATTTTAGGGCATGAGACTCAAGAACATGTTCATAAGCTGAGACGAAGGAACAGAGACAGAAAGAAGATGACATCAGGATGTAGCATGAAAATATGGATGAGGAAAGAGGGAAGTAGACTCAAGGGGATATGGAGGCAAAGAGCCAGGGATGAGAATCCAGTCTCAAGGATGATTGTTCTGGGAAAGGAGGAGGAATCATTTAATTCCCATTTTCCTCAACTCAAAAGGGAAAGAGAGAAGAGTGAGTTAGGCTGAACATGTTTGTTGGTGAAGAAGGAAAGAAATTGAGAGTTCATGCCTAATATCCTCTGTGCCCTTGATAAAGTAGAAAGATTGTTGTTGTAAAGGGCTGTCGAGTCAATTGCAACACATAGCGACCCTGTATAACATTTCTGAGGAGCAGCTGGTAGGTTTGAACTGCCAACTTTGTGGTTTGCAGTCCAGTGTTGATCCTACAGCACCACACCAGTAGTCTAAAGTAGAAAGATAGGAGAGTAATATTGGAAACCATGAACTTCTACTGACGCTCTTGTATGTGCCATTGTGTGAATTTTTTTTTCCAGCAGTACTGAGCAGGTGAATTTCAGGATGGGGTGATCATCTTGTCCTGGATTGCTGGTACTTTCTAAGTTTTAGCACTGAAATCCTCATGTTCTGAGAAACCTCCCAATCTTAGGTAGATCAGAATGGTTGATACTTTATTTGGACCAGGGATGGGTTCTGTAAGGTGGGTAGAGAAATGGTGCATGGCAGTTATGGGTTCTGGACGTTGTTTTTGTTGTTAAGTGGGTTCTGACTCATAACGTTCTGGTTAAAGAAGAAAATATGGTCTACCGTGGAGTCCTGGTGTGATGCTGTGGGTTAGCACTGCACTGCAAGGTCAGTCTAGTCTGTAAAATAGGCATTTTGAGCTCCCCAGACATTCCTCAGAAACCCTATACAGGGTCGCTATGAGTCAGAATTGACTCCACGGCACTTAACAACAACAAATGGGTGATCCAAGTTGCTTAAAGAGGAAGTAAGACCAGGACAGGGTGGAGAGGCAATAAATTGGAAGGAAATGAAGGAAAAGACCAAAGGACTGAAGATGTCTATGAAGTTAAGAATAGGTATAGTTGGGAGTAAAGAAAATTGATGTCAGAAAGTAGAATCGTTGAGTATAAGATTCTGGACATGGATAAGTTTGGGGTGATGACCAAGTTTGTAATGTTACCATGGGATGGAATTCTGAAAGAGTGTACATGAAGGTCACTAAAGGTCAAGGAACTCAGGACAAGGGTGTTTGACAAATTATTTATTAAAACCTCCCAAGATGATGGCAAAGGTTGGAGTAACTGAATGTCAATGATAATCTGGGGGCCAATAGATGGACTGTCGAAGAGTGTAAGGAATTCCACAAATTTTAAAGGCATTGGGAAATTTTGATGGGAATCTAGGACATGATTTCATGGCCCCAGAGACTATGGGCTGCAGAAGAAAAAGGAACTGCCACTCAAGAAGACTATTAAAAAGATGAGTTTCCCCAAGTGAAGTCAATTTCAGGAAAACATGATGTAGGGAATCTTCTGTGAGGAAGCTGAAAATATATGGGAGTTTGTTTCCTTGGGCAAGCTTTCTAAAGGGTATGGTGGAAAGAACTTTGGTTCAGCCTAGAGGGGCCTTCAGAGAAATGAGATTAGACTCAACCCTTATGAGAACGGGGTTACTAAAAGTGATGCTCACCCTGACCACTCAACCCAAGGTTGAAGGATCAGCCACTCCCCACCCTGCCCACTTCCCAATACCACCAAGACTGAGGACAAAACCCAGACGCACACATTAGTATAAACCCTAGGTCCTGACTTCTGTACAGTCACAAACCAAAAATTCTGTTGCTGGAGTGTGAGGATCCGTTACCTGGAGAAACAAACACATGAACCTGAACTGAGGGGTCATATGACAATACATCCCAAATCCAAATTGTCTGAATTCTGCACCAGTAAGACCCAGCGTCATCTGCATTGAGGTTCTCCATGGTCACTGTGACGGTGAGGTTTTCAGCATTGTCTTTGATGGTCACTTGGCCGTTCCTCTCTTCTTTCTCTTTGCCTTTAGTCTGAACAATGCTTTTACATGATTTTTCAAATTTTCCTCGGCACCAGTATTTGTTGTAGCCTCTGTACACCTTCTCATAACGACACTGCACGCTCACAGAGCCCCCTTCAGTACCATTCACAGAGCCGGGGCCCGTCAGAGGAAGACAACCTGGAAGACACAAGCCCACATCCTCAGTCTCCATCCAGATGAGCTTATCAGAACTTTTCCTGACACTCTGGAGGTAGTGGATATAGAAGAGCAATCAGTTCAGAATGAAAATGCCAAATGATTCAGCAAAGCAACCAGCCAGAAACACTCTGGCTGTTTTGCGAATATGATCAGTTTCACTTTAATCTAGAAATCCCCATGGCCAGAGGAAGGAGTTCTGTGGAGGAGACAGATCTGGGATTTATGGGATGATCCTTTCACCACCTCATTTGTCAAATGGAAATAAAGATATCTGCCACACCTAGATCCCAAATGTTCAAAGACTCAGAATGTGTCATAGATATGAGAGTAGTTGTAGACTGTGAAATGCACAAGAAATCAATGTTTGCCCACCTTGTATTTAGAATTTACTTCCTTCTTCTACAATGGACTTCACCTCACTTCCTTTGTCCTTTTCTCCCTCATTCTGCAACTGTTCCTTTTATCTTTCTTTTCATTCCTCATTTTCAGGCTGGCATTACAACCCTCTCAGGTCCCTTCCATACATTTGAAGTGATTACTGTATTCCAGGATTTGTAACACCAGATGGATACGGTGAGTAGAGGGGAAGAAAGCAAGGCACTGAGCCAGAAGGAGAAATGAAAAAGGAGAAGCTCTAGAAAATCTGAACCCAGGAGGAATCTCCAGCTGTAAGTTGCTCTGGATGAAAGAACTGTGGAGTTGGAAAGGTCACATCACTGAACACTAGGAAGAGGTTTCCAGCTTCAGTTTAACTGCACCCATGCTGTGGAATTTACGTAAAAAATTACCAGATTTAAACAAGAGGGTACCAGCTGTCAGTAAACCAGCTCTTAGGTATGGGTTGAGTTGTGGGTGGGAGGAAGGCAGTGATTTGTAGCCTTTGATCTCACCTCAACTGATTCCAAGCTAACAACATACTGTCACTGAAAGAAGAGTTGGGAAGACATGTCCATAATCAACTGTTGGATAAGTATCACCAGTAACCACTGCTTTTCATTGTTGTTAAGTGTCACCAAGCCAGTTCCAACTCATACAGACCCCATATAGGCTTGCCGAGGTTATAATCTTTGTGGGAACAGAAAGTTTCATCTTTCTCCCATGGAGCAACTGGTGGACTAGAACCATCGACTTTGTGGTTCGCAGTCCAGTGCCTATCCCACAGAGCCACCTCACTCCCACCACTTCATTCTCAGCTCTTCTCTACTTAGAAGAATGGGCTAATTCCTTCACCACTTCATCTGTCAAAAGAAAATAAAGATATCTGCCAGGCCTAGACCACAAATAGTCTTGAGGTACCCATGTTATTAACTATGGTGATGCACAAAGTGTCCACTGCAGTCCACAATTGATCCATCATCATCAACAACAACAACCATCTAAGACTTCGAGGACCTCTTATCTTAAACATCTTTCTGAATGTAAGACCATAAATTATAAGGGCCTTAAGAAACCTTAGAGATCACTCAATCGTCTCTCTCCTTTTAGTGATTAAAAAAGACTCTTTTTAAATTAATATCACGAGCTAGTCTTTCTCCTTTAAATCTCTGCATTTTCTATCTGCCACCTAGGAAGTGTCTGGTCATCATGTTGGGCAGTTTTCATGTTTCATGAGGGAGTTCAACTATAAAAAATCATTCTACCACTCAATAAAATGGAGGTAAAAGGAAAAATACTAAACATAATTAAGGGTATATATAAAAAACCAACAGCCAATTAATACTCTCAACGGAAAGAAACGGAAAGCGTTCCATTGTGAACAGGAACCAGACAAGGACGCCCTTTATCACCACTACTAATCACAGGGTTGCTATGAGTCAGAACCTAACAACAACAAAATGATAAACTTTGAGTACAGTATACTAGATGAAATAAATCAGACACAAAAGGACAAGTATTATGATTTCATGTATATGAGGTATCTAAAATAGGCAACTGTGAACAGTACCAGACAAAGATGGTCTTTATCACCACTCCTATTCAGTATTGTGCCAGAAATCTCAGCCAGAGCTATAAGGCAAGAAAGCGAAATTAAAGGTATCCAAATTGGCAAAGAAAAAGTAAAATTCTCTCTATTTATAGATAATATGATCCTGTACATAGAAAATCCCAAAGATTTGGCAAGAAAATTATTGGAACAAATGGAAAGATTTGGAAAAGTGGCAGAGTACAAGATCAACATACAAAAGTCAGTTGTATTCCTTTAACTAGTAAAGAACGCTCTGAAAAAAAAATTAGGAAACCAATACCATTTATAATAGCCACCTAAAGGATGAAATACTTGGGAATAAATCTAACCAGAAAAATAAAATACCTATACAAAGAAAACTACAAAGAACTACTATGAAAAAATAAAAGAGACCTGCAGAAATGGAGGTATAGAATCTTGATTAGAAAGACTTAACATTGTAAAATGTCAACACTACTCAAAGTAATCTATAGGTAGGTACAATGCAATTCCAATCCAGATTCCAACATCATTCTTTAAAGAGGTGGAAAAAACTAATCACTAACTTTATATGGAAAAGAAAGAGACTCTGGATAAACAAAACATTACTGAAAAAGAAGAACAAAGTAAGACGTTTCTCACTTCCCAATCTCAAAACCTAATACATAGCCACAGTAGCCAAAACAGCCTGATACTGGTACAATAAAAAACACAAGATCAATGGAACGAACAGAACTGAGAACTTAGAAGTAAATCCATCTACCTATGGTGAGTTGATCTTCAACAAAGAGCCAAAACACAGTAAATGGGGAACATATAGTATCTTCAACAGATGGTACTGTCAAAATGGGAGATCCATTTTCAGAAGAATAAAACAAAACCCATACTTCACATCATACACAAAAATGAACTCAATGTGAATAAAAGATTTAAATGCAAAGTCTAGAACTATAAATGAAAACAGGGACAAACTTTGGGGCCGTGATACATGGCATAAATACACTATCAAATATAACTGAAAACATACAAACAGAAGGCAAAATGGATGGCTGGGGCCACCTAGTTCTTAACTCCTTCATAGTTACTTAACACTTGCGTTCAACCAGTAGCTTCTAGAATACAAATGTTTCTTGTACTCTAATATGTAATTAAACATTTAAGCTATAATTAAACATCTTCCAGAACTGTATTGGCACATATTTGGTGCTCAGTCAATACTTGTAGGACTTGTAGATCAATATTCAAATATTTAGAAGGATATATAGATGAGTGAATGGATGTAATCTTTTTCATTTCTGCTGACACTTCACCTCTGGCTTAAACCTAGAAATGACCCTACTACCTACCATCCTGCCCCCCTGAAATACCAGATTCCCAAAGCCCCAGCCCTACTCACCTGGGAGGCAGAGAAGGAGCAGAGCTGGGGGCAGCCACATGGTCTTCTCTCCCTAGATGCTGTTCCCAGAAACTTCAGGTCCCAGGTGGAATCCAGATATTTGTAAGAGAACCTAAAGTTATACACCTTCTTCTTGTTCAAAGTTCCTTTGTGTTTATCTCTCATTGGATTCCTTTTTTAACTTCTCAGTGACTTCCTAATTTTAAATCTTACTTATAAAAAGGGGAAGAGAACAGAAAAATGTTCAGAGAATGGAATAAAAGCAGTGTAAGAGATCTGCTGGATTTTTTTTTCCTTCATTTAAAGAAAATACAATGTTTAGGTCACTTTTTTCATTCATGAAAGTCAATGACAATATATGAAACATCCAACAGAGAAGATCGTTTGTCCCCTACCACATGTTTGCATCCTCCTGCCTGATACCTCTTCCTTGATCTGTTCAGTTGCTCCCTTCTCTGTGATTCCCTGCCTTGTTGTTTATCTGTTTTAATTTTTAATTGTGAATTGAGTAAAAGTTTACAGAGCAGATCATCAGTTATACATTCAACAAATCAGATTACAGTGATTCATTACAATGATTCCAATCCCACCCCATGTACCATCAGTTAACAGTATTGACCTCTATTCACTTTAACTCTTGCATTCTTCAATATGTCTTCTGCTACCTTCATCTTTCCTATGGCATAGGAAACTTCTTACTGTATACTACCTGACCCATCACCTATGTTAACGCATGTTTACCCTCTAGCCTATGAATAATTTTCCCTCCCTCAACCCTGAAAATCATCATAGAATGTTTCTTTTATCAAGAAAAACTTTTCGACTGACTGTGAGGATTGGAAATGTAAAGGTGGACGTTTTGTAGCAAAAGGAGGGGAGTGATTGACTTTGCAGTCCAGGAGCGGAGGTCCCTGGAACCATCAAGGAAGAAGAGTGGAGTGTGGGACCCTACCCAGAGAGGCAGTGATGCCAGGGATAGAGGCAGAGACAATAACATGGAGAGATGGAGTGGCTGGGGACTCTAGACCCAGAGAGGAAGAGGGGCTGTGTGCTGATGATGGAGAGGGGGTGGAGGGGGAGCAGACTTGCAGGATCTATATCCTTTGCTTGGTTGATGATGCATGGAGGGGATTTTAACCATGGCAATGAAATGATATACAATAGGATAAATGTAAAGCTAATGTTCTCCCTTGTAAACTATCACAATTCACAATAAACATTTTTCTTTAAAAAAAGAAAACCTTTTCATAACTTGTTTGTTTGTTTCTATTCCCTATGGGCTCTTTTGGTTTGATTTTGTTTTTGTTATGGTTAGTTTTGATGTACACAAAGATACTCCGGAATATATAATCATTTAAACAACCAAAGGGCACATTCTGCAAGCCTGCCTCCTGGCTGCCAGCACACAGCCTTTCATTTCCCAAGAGTATAAAGTCCTCCGCTGCTCTATCTATTCATGCTATCACCTCTGCCTCCATCTCTAGTGTTGCTGCTTCTCTGGTTAGGATCCCATGTTCTGCTCATGCTCTTCTCCCTTGATGGCCCTAGGGTCCTCTGTTCCTGAAATGTGAGATTAACTATTCCCCCCTTTACAATTGTGACCATTGCAGTTACTCATGATAATAATTATTTACTATTGAATCCTAAGAATCTCATCCCCATCTCCTTTCACCAAACCTGTCTAGACAAGATGAAAACTATTCAGTTGAGATTGTACCTTTCCCCACACACTCTGAAAGTAAACTCCATCTTGAAAACTTGTAAGCCAGCCACTTCCTGCCTTTATAGCCCACCCCACCCTCATTTTAGGTAGCCAGTGTCTAAGTTGTCTATCCCTATCAACCCTGTATACCCAGGGGATAGACTTGATCCTTGATGTGAAGACTCCTTCCCTCTCAGTTGGTATTTTGAGCTACTACATCCATGTTGTTGTGTTGTTAAGTACCATGGAGTTGGTTCTGACTCATAGTGACCCTGCACAGGGTTTCCAAGGCTATAAATCTTTACAGGTCTCCTAAAGAATGGCTGGTAGTTTTGAACTGCCAACCTTGAGGTTAGCAGCCCAATTTGTAACCACTATGCTACCAGAGCTCCTTACTACATCCAAAAGTATAGGCAAAGTTCATCAAATTGCAGCAATTTACACTTGTTTTCTTTATCAAATTTCTTTATCTTTCTCTAGTCGAGCTCTGGTTACCAAGCCATTGAAGCTAGATCAAATGGGTACTATCTGCAAGTTTGGGCATTCTTGTGCATCTCCCCCAATTTCATATCAGCTGAATGCTTCACTCTCAGCTCTAGCCTTCCATGGCTAGGTCAATGTCCATAGATTCAGGAGTTCCCAAGTCTCCCCAGACTTCCGACTGGCCAGCCCTTCTTCTTCTCTCTCTCTCATCTCAAGATCGACAGGAGTCTATGGAATATGGTCGAACTCAGCCCATGTGTTCATTACTGACTTTCTCCCAACACAGTCACCAGCAAGCTTACATGCCTGCTTATGTGTTCCCTTTGAGTTGGTCTTGGAGGAGGACCTTGTCTTAACTGTTGACAACAGTAATCTCAAACAATTTTTGTCCTTTTGCAAGTGACTTATTTCACTCAGCATAGTGCCTGCAGATTCATCCACATTTTGAAGTGTTTTGCAGATTCATCATTAATCTTCAATGTTGCATAGTATCCCATGTGTGTATGTACCAAAATTTGCTTAACCATCCTTCTGTTGATGGGCATTTAGGCTGCCTCAATGTATTTTATGTATCTCTTGTAGACAGCATATTTCTGGTTGCCTATTTCAGATCATAAAATTTATTTGAAGACCTGGAATCCTCATGATTCCCTCTCAACCATTTCCTAGAGTCAGAAGATCCCAATACCTTCCTCTAACCTGAAACAATTGAACTCCTTGAAAACTCAGAATTGCTAAAGCCAACACAGCTCCCCTGGCCTTGAGGCAGATAGAGCAGAAACAAGCCTCACAGACATAGCTCCCCTGGCCTCAGGAGAGATAAAACAAACACAAGCCTAACAGATGGTGTTTATTGTGTGATTCTAGACCTCGGACATTCCGTAAAGTAATTAACTTAACTATGTACCTCAAGGACCCTGGCACCAATGTGCCTGATTTGCAGCCTTGTTAGTCTGCCTATGTAACCTGATATATAGTTTTCTTATTCTACCTATGAAAACTGGTTTATAAGGAGCTATGGTAGCATAGTGGTTACAAATTGGGCTGCGAACCACAAAGTCAGCAGTTCGAAACTACCAGCTGTTCTGCGGGAGAAAGATGAGGTGTTCTGCTCCTGTAAAGATTTACAGCCTCGGAAACCCTGTACAGGGTCACTATGAGTCAGAGTCGACTCCACGGCACATAACAACAACAAACTGGTTTTTAGTCTTGTTATTCTACCTATGTAAACTGATTTGTAGCCTTGTTGCCCTCACCTTGTTAGCTGTTATCTAGTCTCCCTATTAGCAAACTAACTTGCTACTTTTCCTTCTGTACTCCCTGCTTCAGCAAATTCTTTTAGATAAGTCGCTAGACCCTGAGCCAGGAATGCAGCCTATATAAACTAGCAGCCAGCTCCCTACAACATGGCAGGCTTAGGAGAAGCTATTGTCTCCCTGCCGTCTGGCTATAGCTGTGCTAATAAAATAAAATTCTCTAAATTGACATTATCCTGGTCATCATCCTTCTTTGGGATTTGAACCTGTAACATCTGGGGGCTCGACTGGGATGGCCAGTGTCCTACAGCCTCTGCCCTACAGCAGCTCCAGGGAGGAGAAACTTCTTGTGGGGGAGGGGGGGAGACGCCCCCTGAAACGTTCCAGGGCCCCAGACTCACGACTCCCTGTCTGAGCGCTTGGCGGGAAGACGCAAATAATTGAATCAATTGATTTCATGGCACCTGGTGTGTCCTCCGGAGAAAAATCTGTCTGTGAGACCGGTCTCCCTGTTTGGCCAGGGACAGAGGGCCGGACGCCCAGAGTCTTCCCGGCATCTTCTCACCGGTAAAGCCTGGTAAAGTTCCTGTACTTGTCTTGGGTTGTCTGTAATTGACTGTATTGTCTAATAGTGTTTGTTTCTCCCTGGGATCTTTCTCCGCTTTCTCCCTTGTCTCTCACTTCCTTCTTGTCTTGTCTCTCTCCCTCCCTCTAATACTGATTTCTACCCTAGGGCTCTTTGCCGCTGCTCCTGCGGGTAGTAAGACCCGCCTTTGTTTCCTCTAACTCCTCCTTTGTTTCACTTTTCTCGGCCTCACCGGGAGCCCAATTTGAATGAACAGTGTATCTGCTCACTCCCTCTCCTTAAGGTTCCTCTCTTTGTAGAGGAAATTTTGCGGGGTATATTCTGGTTTCACCCCCGTAAATGAGACTTGGAAGGTCTCAGAGAGTGGCTATTCAGCCTCTCAGTTCAGAGAACCCTGCAGGATTTTGAACCCTGGGAAACTGAAATTTCTTCTTACTTGTTTTTGTCTATGTAAATCAATATAGGAGAGTCATGTACCGGGGTTAGCACCCCCCTGCAGTGCATGCTAAATAACTTCCGAACTGCTTTCTCTGATGACTAAGGTGTTAGATTCTGTCAGGGCCACGTCAGGACCTTATGTTAATTAGAGTGGCCCTCTTTTAGCGTGGGATGGGCTGATATCCGCACATTTGACCCACACATACCAGGGCCCTTTGGGATAAAGTTGCAGGGACCCCAGGGCACCCAGACCAATATCTCTATACAGATGTCTGGTTAAATTTAGTACAAAACCCCCCTGAGTGGTTGAAGAAGTGTGACTGGAAGGCCTACAGATTATGCTGAGAGCCACACCAGGAGTCCATGCATTTATATAAAGGCCTGTTTTTCTGCTGTTTCTCTTCTATGCCTAGAAGAAGTTTCCATGGAATGATATTTTTAGTTTGTGATTTTCTTCTGGAATCTCATTTTTTAAGTAATCATAGTTGTTAAGTGCAGTTTAGTCAACATAGCAACTCCATGTGTGACAGAAGAACTCTTTCAAGAAGAAGATAGCCAGGTCTTTCTTCTGCAGAGCTTGA